CAGCCAGCCTGGAAATAAATGAATTTGGGGAATTTGAAGGGCTTTTCAAGCCTTTTCAAGTGGGACAGAGGAAAAATTTCTTTGGATGGAAGGGGTTGGCTGCCTTTGGTGGTGAGCTGGGGGCTTTCGCCTCCACCCTGCCACGGATGGAAGCAACATAATTCAACGAGCCTGCAGAGCACCTGCTGTCAGAAAAGGAGTAAGGAGCAGGTGATTTGCAGGCTGCTGTGGGAAAAAAAAAAAAAAAAAAAAAAAAGCTCTCCTGGGAGCTGTCGGGAGCCTGGAGCAGTGAGCCTAGCTTTGCTGCAGGGTGAGGGCCGAGCCTGGGTGATGTCAGCAGCAACAAACCCTCAGCCCAGTGCTCCCATTGAGCCAGTGACTGGGACACAAGAGGCAATAGAAAGTCAAATGTGATGTTTTGACATTTGCTTGTCCCAGCTAAGGACAGAAAATTCAAAACACACAGGGAAAGAATGGCAAAACTGGAATCCCATACAGTTTCTGTTCAGAAATGTCAAAACAACTCATTTTGGTGCAGAAAGACATCAACTTGCCACTGCCCACGCTGCCATTCAGCCTGGGCATGCTGTGGACAGGCACCAAGCTGGTGCTGACATCCCTGAGCCATGAAGGAGAAACAGTCCCAGGGGTCCCTTAACCAAAGAGGGGGGGGTCACAGGCATCTCCCTCGAGGCGTGCAAATACCGGGGTTCCCGCTTGGCTGCAGAGCAAATATTGAGGAGAAATCCATTTTGATAAGAGCAAAATCTATTCTTTGGACTGAAAAGATTCATTTGTGTTTATATATTACCTCCGTGTGCATGCGCATGTGCATTTTAGTGAAAAGGAATTAAGTGGCAAAAAAAAATAGTCCTGAATTAAGGCTCATTTCATTTTAGAAACGTTGAGAGGCAGAACGCCAGGTGTTGTGCAGAGGTTTCTTTGTTCGCTGTCACAATTCAACTTGAATTTGCAAAATACTTTGACTATATCCATTCTGATTTTCCTGTCAGAAATGTTCCAGGTGACAATTTTTACCCAGAAAGCTCCACTTGTGGCAACTCAGACAAAACAATTTAACTTCAGCCCGGAGGGAAGCATTTCATTCATATTTTCCTGAAGAAAAGAAAGGAATGCTTCCCAATCAAATTGGTGCTTACAGGGTTGGGGGGGATACTTTCCAGAAATCTCAATTTCTACACAGACCCAATAGAACGAGGACATTTTCATGGGAAAACATGAAATGCAATGTACCCTATAGCTTGCCCTTCAATGCCCAGACTGCAGCATATGTTTTTGACCAGCTTTTCCAATGCAATGAGGGGAACTTTTTGCAGACTCCCCAGCCCCAGAAACCCAGAGGCAGCTGCCTTCAGCCTCCGGCACCCGAGCGGGGCCTCAGGAGCTGAAACCCAAGAGCTGGTACAATGCAGTGCGTGTTTCCTGACGTGGATGCAGTGATGTTAATTCCTAACAGCTGAGAGCCTGGCCCCCAGCCCTTCCTCATGCTCCACACCGAGCACCAGCCCAGAGCGCATCTTGTGTTCTCCCCTCCGTGCTGCATCGCATTTCCCCCATGGAAAGGCTGATTTATCACCATTAATCCCCTTTCCTCCTTCTGAATTCACCCCTCCAGAGCAGCAAATGCCTTTTTCTCCTTCTGTAAGAACAGCCATTGCCCTCCAACCTCAGCAGGTTGGATCTGCTCCAGCAAACCCCCAAACCAGCCCGTGCCATGGTGAAACATGCTCCCATCCTACAGGAGCACGAGGATCCCAATTTGCTCTGAGTGATTGGACCCAGAGCTGCCCAGGCAGGGGGCTCAGGGCTTCCTCTCACACTGCACATTTCACTTGACTTATTTTACCTCCTTATTGAAGCTGAGATTTTTTTCTTCCTTTTCCTGCTGCTAAGATTTTTGTCCTTTGCAGCTGAAAAAGCTCTATTAGACTTGCCTTGTCCTTTCTCCACAAGTCTGCTTTGGTTCCTCTAAATCCTGGATGTAGCACAGGTCTCTGGGGTGGAGGGAGGGCAGATTCACCTCCCCACCCACAGAATCCCAGCAAGGTATTGAAGGAAATCCCTGCAGCAGAGAGAGCTGGTGCTCGCAGGGCATCACCAAGTCCTTCCTGGAGATGTTCTGACTTGGCACAAATGTGCATTTTGGACTGGCAAAGTGGGAGTGCTTCCAAGCTCACTGCGTGGATAAAGGGGGTGGTGGCCAAGTGATGTAAATTAGAGCAGACCCTCAGCTGGGCTGATTACAGCAGATCTGCCACCAGAACAGTGCTGGCATTGGCATGAGGAGCCATCCAAACCCCTCTGACAGTGTTGGACTCACTTGAGCCCACCTCAGCCTTCCCAGGTCTGCATGATTTCCTTGCACACCTGGGTGCAGTGGTGCACCAGTGGAAAATGGGGGCTCTGAGTGCTCCAAGTGCAGAAAAAGCTTGAATGCAAAAGCAAAAGGAGGTGATGAAGTTGGCTTGTGTTCCAAGCACAGCCACAGAGCTCAGCTCCATGAATCTCTGGGAGCCACTGGATGGAAAACCCAACTTCACAGCTGGGACTGTGTGCTGGGAGGAAACACACTGCAGGTGTGGATCTCAGTGTCTTGCTATTATTATTATTATTATTATTATTATTATTATTATTATTATTATTATTATTATTACTATGAATTCATGAACCAGAAATCCCAAGCGTACCTCCTGCAGCAAAGCAGTACAAAATAACAAAGCTACAAATGGTCCTTCCAGAGAGGGTTTCCTGTTTTCCTGGCTGATGGCCCATTCCAGGATTCAGGTTGAGCCAAATCCTAAATTGTAAGAAACTCTCCGGCGTTCCCCTTCTGTTTGAAGGGGAACTGCCAACACGTCTCACCAATAGTCATCTGAATTGAGGGGGAGACGTTCAATTTTATGATGGGAGGCAGGCAGCCAAGTCCCATTGATCTTCAGTGAAAAGCCTTCAGTGAAAAATCCCTCATGCCCTGTCACCAGCACGAAGAGCTGGGCTTTGCCTACGCAGCTGGTTTTGTTCTAAGGCACTCATCATCATCGGGTCTGAATTCCTATCGCTATCCTATTATTATCTCTGATTAAGCAGGGTGGAAGAGGAAATTAGGCGATTCCTATGTACTCGTGGACTAGCAGTGATGTGTCTTAATGAGCTCTGCTTAACCCATTTGTTACCTTCCAAATAAAGCTCCCTGGGAGGGCTTTCACCACCAGCTCCCACCACCGGACTACTGCTTCCCCCTCCTGAACTCCATTAGGCTCAGGCACATCACCAGCGGGGCAGGGCAATGACTCACTTTCAGTATTTAAGGCCAGCCCAATAAATCCCTAAATGACTTTCTAACGGAGCAGTAAACTCCTCAGAACATAATCAATGCACATTAACAAAGCACTGGGAAGCCAAGAAGTTCTTGGGGGGTGGGGAGGTTAAAACCCATGCCATGAATCTTTCTCGTGTTGTTTTATCGGGCAGGAACCTCCTGCTCCCTTTATTACGTTTGACATATATAGATGGGAAATATTTTCTAAAGCCATTTATAGCCTAGCCCGGGTTTCCCAAAGAAGCCTATTGGAGCAGAAAGGTCTCGGACTGATTTTTCCAAGGCAATGCCTCAAGATTATGTGCATACCAAGAGGGATTTTTACAAATGTCAGAGAATCACAGCATAGGTTGGGGTAGAGGGGACCTCCGGAGCTCTCCAGTCTGACCTCCTTCTCAGAGGAACTTGAGGCAGCTTCAGATTAGCTCAGGGCCTCATCCAGCCAACTTCTAAATATTTCTGGGACCGTGGCTCCACTGCTTCTCCTGGGGCTGCACAACCTTGCAGGGAAGATGCTTTGGAGCCACTCAGCTTTAGGGGCCTCAGCACTGCAAGGGCACTCAGAGGATGCCTGTTTCCCTAGCGAGGGCTGGTGTTTAGCCCTCTCCATCTCCCGGGGCTCGACACACCAGAAGACGTGCCGTCGCATGACAGCCGGGGCAAGAAGGTACTTGAGAGACCTGCTTGCGTTTTTCTGTCTGTCAGCAGAATTAGTTGCTTCTAAATTCAATGTATGAGCTTTACACCTCAAGGGGAATATAAGCCCTTCTCTCAAAGCTAGAGTTTCAGCCACCCTGACTCAGGCACAAGAGAGCTAAGCACTTAAAGTTAGACTCCTCGATAATCCTTATGGAGAAATATATATATATATTAACTCATGCTACAGTTAGCCCTAAGGTAAGAGCTGGGCTGTGGTAACAAGCTCAGACTTGAACACATATCAGTGTTTCAAGGCAGGGCAGACAAATCCTGCCCCTGGACCACCGTCAGGCCCGGAGCTCCAGCCAGAATCTCCCAGTCATCTCATTACCAGCATCGTTACGGGATCCAGAGGTCGTATCAGGCTCAGCTCCCTATTGTGCTAGGAGCTGCATACAGACAAGGACCCAAAAAAGACTGCCATAAAAAAAAAAAAAAGACAGATGGAGGCACAGATTTATGTAAAGTCTCACAGCAGGTCAGAGGCAGCATTGAAATGAGAGCATGGGCAAGTAACAGGTCTTAGATTCCCAAATGAATGTTTTGGCTTTGGCACTATGGCACCAACCATACACTTCAAATTGTTCTAGTTCAGATACTCTGACCACCTCGAAACCTAAGCCCAGAAAGCTGCAAACCCCGTTTCAGAAATAGCTGGTACAGAGCCATCATGCCTGAAAACTGCCACAAGCCCACACTGCTGTCTGCTTCTCCCAAAATCCACAATTCATTAGCATCCTCGGTTTTCAGACTCCCATGACAATTTTCTCTGAAGCTGGGCACCATCTCCAACTCCCACATCTTTCCCCAGGCTCTGACTCACACTAACCTTTTCCCAAACCCTCCTTCCTTTGAGAAATCAAGACAAGCTACTGTTGAATCATTCCTTATAAGAGCAGATAGCATTACTGATAGAGGTCATTAATTATTACATCAGCAATCATGCTAAATACAGTTTGTGTTCATTATTACAGTGCTATATTTATGTTAATTTAACACTTATAAATAGCATTAATAGTAATTGCACCAATAATAATACCACAGTTGTGAAATGTTTGTATAACATCCGTCTGCTCTGAGATGCTCTGTGACAGATAACGCCGCCGCCATCTGGCATTGCTGGGTGTGTTTGGCTTGTACTTATCAGCATGGCAAATCAGGCAGCCGTTTCCATCCTAGGAGCTCCCACTGGTTCTGACATGCCAGCAGCCATAAATCACTTCTAAACGGCTCCTGGAGAGGAAGATGGGAACCCACAGGCAAAAGTTGGGAGCACCAAAATGGAAAGCAAGAGAGCTTCTTACTGCGGCATGCAAAGAGGCCCAGCAAGGGGAGTCTGCAAAACCACAGAGAAAGAGGAGTTACTGCAAACACACAGCCCCTTGCAGAGCACCTAACATTTTAGTTTCAGTTGATTTTAACAGTAGGACTTGAGTGGTCTTTGCTTTGAAAGGAATTCCTCTTTTCCTGGGCCCATGGTTACCAAACTAAGGAGGTCGTCGCATGGCGAGCAGCACCCCACTAGAAGCTGCTATCAGCAGGTCCCCTACCCATAGACATCTTTCTATTAGTCTCTCTGAAAAAAAAAAAAAAAAAAAAAAAAAAAAAAAAAAGCACAGAGGGCAGGAGGAGGAGGGTGAAGGAGGAGGAGGGTGAAGGGGGTTCATTCCTTCCTCAGCCAGTACCAGGTTTGACTCCAGATCCTGCATCTCTGCCAGAATCCACATGCCCAAAATGGAGAAGTGATAAACTGGTAGCAAGCATGGCCACTTATGGGTGCCTGCACATGAGTATACCAAGCACATGGTGGAAATAGGTAAAACTACTCAGAGATTGGGTCTTGTTCAGTGTCGCCCTTTTTATTTCGTTCCTGGGACCAAAGCGAGATCCTGAAGACAAAAGGAAGAGCTGTTAGTCCATGGTCTCCCACCAAGGGAAACTGGTTCTTGTCCCACAGGAAGAAACTGTTGGAAGAAGCTGAAATTTGCAGCAGCAGCATCCTGGCTGGGGACTTTTGGTCTTGACCACCATGAACAGGATTTCAGTCCAGGTCTTTCCCAGGAGATCTCTCAACAGAGTGACTCTGAAAAACACAGCTCTTAGGGAACGCTGAACCAAAAGCTGAATGTTCACTCCTGCCTCTCATCCACCCTGCAACACCACTGAAGGAAGCTCTCTTTCAGTGCTTCTGCTCGTGCTGTGGTTGTGCAGAGCTGCAGGAAAGTGAAGAGGGACTTGCAGAGAAGCTTCCTGGACAGATCCAGGCTCCTCAGGCAGGAGGTCCTGCCAGGACAGGTGGCCAAATCGGCCCCCAAGCCTTGGGATCTCTGTACTGGCTTGCAAAGAGCCCTGAAAATCTTTGATTTCCTTCCAACATTGAGATCCTCAAGCAATGCACTGACTCTATGCATGTCTTTTCCTAGCTAGAAAGCTGGGACGATGCTGTTTGCTGGCCATTACAGAGCCCTCTATTATACATGGGCAAGTCACTCAAACAGCACTGCAATTTGGGAAGATTCACTTCTGCTTGCTGTAGCCAAGGCAACCTAAAAAGGCCTGATTGCTGGAAAGGTCCCAGCCCCTGGCAGCTGGAGGCACGCTTCCGAGCAAGCTGGGCACCCATTTTTGATAATCTCGACCTACAAAGACCAACACCACAGCAAATCCCAAGCAGAGCTTTTGTGTCGTGCCGAAGGAGCTGGTCTCTGCCTCAGATTCTTTGTGGGATTTGCCCACAAAGAAATCCAAAGCAGAACAGTCAAATTCCAAAATAGACAATGAGCTTCCTCAGTAAAAACATCAGAAATAAGCACTAAATTGAAAGTTTTTGTTTATAAACCTCACATGAACAAATCCTTTTATACCTTCTTTGGTTTTTTTATGATAATTTTCTGGGGCTTCTGGAATTTCTGTTTTGAGTCAAATATATATATAAAAAAAAAAAGTGCCTTCCTTTTCTTGTTAGAAGCGGCATTTCAAGATTAAAGCATTCATTCCAAGACAAATATCTTTCAAATGTTCTCATCAAACAAGGGAAAAGATTCAGAAAATCTGGCATTTTTCTCTACAGAAAAGAACACTTTTGACCAAATCATCTTTTTCTGATGGAAACGGACTTCTTGTGAAAGTATACCTCATTCTCTCATCCATGTTGCTAAATGCAGCATGATCAGAAAAAGCAGCAAGCCATGGCTCTTCCCCACTCACTGCACACACAAAGGCTCTCCAGCTAAAATCAGGTGAAATAATGACACACGTAAAGAAAGAAAAAAAGTTTCAAATAAACTCTTCTTTTTCGCTCCTCCCAGCTCAATTGCGAGCTCTTCAAAGTTTCTCCTCTCATTGAGTTGAGTCATTAGTCTTCAGATAAGTGATGCTTGAGCCTTTGATTAAAATTACTGGGGAGCGTCTCTGCATGATTAAAGAGAGATAACACAATAAAAGGAAGAGGACTTTACACCATTATTATGGCAAATAAGTGCAATTCCCAACCTGAGAGCTGCATCAACTTGTCTAATGTAATAAATGCTTCCCCTGTTGGAAACGTGTCAAATTAGACTTCAAGATGTCAGCCTTCGGTTTTCAAAGGCCTTGAAGCTTTACGGGGCACTGCGTGACTGCAAGCCTAATATGATGGAGAGCGAGGAGGTGACGCTGCCCCATAGAGCAGGGCACCGAGGGAGCAGAACGTGCTTGTTAGTGGCTGGCGGGCACCAGCCCAACCTCTGCTGCATTTGAAAGGTACAAAAATATATTTTGCACATGCAGGCAAGTATGGGATGCCAGCTAAAGGCATCTGGAGAGGGGTCAAGGGGTGGATGTGAAATCAAGGACAGGCTGGTTTGGGCTGCTTCCACCCACCGATGTCCTCGCACACATGAAGCTTTGCCCAGGGAGAACCAGGATCCTCACAACGAGCCTCTTTGGGGTCTTGGTCGCACAGCAGGGGACACACCAGAATAGCTCTTTTGTCTAGGGAAAAAGCGTCATTTCCGATTGTATCCAAACAAGAATAGTTTAGTGGATGAAAAAAAAAAATAGCTCTGAGTGAATTAAAGGAAAAAAAAAAAAAAAGTAATTTTCAGTCCAAAGAGAATATCTACACAGGAAGTTATTTCAGAGTAACTATGCCGTCTGATTCCCTGCTGTAGACAAGCCACGAGTCTCTGCTTTCCTAGCAGAAAGGATGAATCCTTCCCCAGGCACAATGTGGGGCTATGTTCTCCAACTATAGGTGTGAAGATAGCTCTTGTAGCTTGTAGAAGTGCAGACAGATAGCTCACAGATGCATCCTATTCGTGGCTTAAAATACACTAGTTTATCATGCAAATGATATGTCAACAGAATAGCTGCATTTGGCAATATTTCCCAAAGTAAATTAAGCAGTTAAACATGCCATGTGTAATATTAAAGAGGTTATGTGTTACATATAATAAGCAGATGAAGCCAAGTTGACAGGAAGCCAGGTTTCCGCAGAAAGCTGAAATTCATCTCAGAGGAACCAAGGTGTGTGCCTCTTCCCACTGGAGCGGCGCAGAGGGGATGAGGTTCAGGAAAAACGGGGCTGTGCTTGTGCCAATGCCCCGTGAGGCAATGCAGCCTGAGCTGGAACCCCACAGAGGCTTTATCCGTAAGATGGATGGTCCAGTCTGAGCCTCCCGGTCAGCATTTCAAGAGCCGGTGCACGCCGAGGTCTTGCACTCTGTATTTTTCACAGCTTGAGCTCCGTGCGTCTGGGAACCATTTGCAAGGGTAAAAATAATGCATGATCCAATCTTCTCAAGGCTTTTCACTTCCTGGAGGGTGGAAATACCAGGCAGGGAAAGAAAGGAAAAAAAAAAAAAAAAAAGCTCTTGGATTATTTCGGCTCCACAAATTGCTCCCCGAGGCAAGTAAATGTTGTAAAAAACGTACACAAATATTCAGATTCAAGTTTAACCAAATACCAGGACATTTGGATTTATTCAAGTGTCAGCAGCCCCCAAGCTTTCTTAGTTATTTCAGGCTCCCTTACATCATCAGCAAATGTTTTCTGTTTCACAGAAACTCAAAGTCAATCCTGGGGGCTCCCAGGGCCCAAAAGAAAGAAATGAAAACGTTCCCCTCCTGCCCCATGAACCAGCTCGTTAAACCCCAACCCTCGCACTGAGCTCCAAAGTGAAAACTGCTCCCGTGATTTATGGAGAATCAAAACTAAACCCCTATTTGTTTACAGGCAAGATGCTTGGCTTCAGGGTGTTGTTTTAAAGGAAAGCAATGAAGAAAGACATGGAGATGAGGTCCAGTGCCCCCAGTCCCAGGCAGCAGCCCAGACCTCCTCTTCTCCAGCGCCTCCAGCCTCTCCCAGGTCCCCTAACCCATCTGGCACCCAGTGTCTCCATGGGCACCTTTCTTTGAAGGGAAGGCTCTTTATCTCACTTATGTTTCAAATTTCAAGACGGCCGTGAGCCTTAGGCTAGTATTTTTCACACATCCTAAAACATCATCCCTGCCCCCCCACACATGCATGCACACATTCCTTATGGTCTGCTTCCCCTCAGGGCCTCACAAGCCTGAAGAGATGATAAAATTTCTGTAAAATAGGTGTTTCTGAGGCATTTTCTAACAGTTCATGACCCTGCTTAAACCCCAGTGAGGAACACAGTAAGATGCATTGCATAACTCAGGAGGGGAAAAAAAAAAAAAAAAAAAAAAAAAAAAAAAAAAGGATGTTTTGGAGTTTATTGTTTCCAAAACATCCGAGTGATGAGAAACCCAGCACAACCAGCAGTTCATTTCCTTTGCCGTCAAAAACCACCACCCTGCTTCTGGTTGGGCTGTCCTGGCCAAGGCATGTGGCCGCTGATGCTCGAGCAGCTTCTGCCTGCCCTGCTGGGAAGCTCTCTGATGCGACCAACGTGACTGCCTCGCCTCCCTGCAGGTGTAATGGTGCCATCAGCCAGCTATTACCAGCTCCGTGCTAAATTAAGCAGATCACACTCCTTGATTTGCTCTCTGTGAGGTGTGATTCTCCTTTCATTAGTCTTTTTCTGGCTCTTCTTTGAATCCCCTCCAATATCCCCACACCCTTTTTGAACTGCGGATGCTGTGCCAAGTACGGAGGTATCACAACCTTCCCACGCAAAACTGGCCAGAGGAGTTGTTTGATGGCCTCTTGTCTCCATGGGGCTTTCCTGAGTCATCTGTTACCCCATTCTCCACCTTTCTTAGGACTAGAAGGGGACCCCACATACCTAACTTCTAGATGGCCTGGGTTAAGTGTGATGAATGGTCTGACATTTGACCACACCGAAATACTGTGTTTACTTGACCCAGGGCTGCCAAGCAAGCATCATTAACTGGAGCTCTGCAAGGGTCTTTGTGCCTCTTTCAACATTTATCAAAGAGGATTTAATAGCTTCTTCTTTTTCTCCCCTGAATCATTGCTAGAGACGCTGAATGGGGTAGGGTCAAGACTAGCTATTTAGGGTCTCCACGAGAAACAAAGATGTTTGATGTGGATTCTCCTTTTAGGTCTCCATTTAGAAACCAATTAAATGACCCAGCCATTTAATGTGCACCATGTTGATTTTGGATGGCTCCTCTTTATCCATTAGCATGTCCTGTGTTACAAAGCCAAAAGCTTTTTAGAAGTTTGACCAACTTAGGAATAAGTGGAGTAGGTGACAGCTGGCCTCCCTTAGACGGATGGGCTTTGAGGGCAGTAAGGATTATTATGACCAGGGTCTGACCTCCTCAGTGACACAGGCTATAAAATTTCATCCATTAGGCTCCTTTGAAAATCCCAACTATAAATCTTTCTGATCCAATCCTTTCCCTACACAATTCCCCTGGAAGCACCAAGGTTGCTCAGAAAGCTCAATACGATGGATGGTGGAGGGGCTGAGAAGGCAGGGTCCAGCTCTAGCCATATTCAGGCCTCTCCTACTAGTGTTTACCTATCAGCAAACTTCCTAGAGCATTCATAGTTTCCACACTGCTAATTTTAGGCCTTTGCTTTCCAACACCCACAGACTTGGAGACACAGCCTGCCGCCTTGCTGCAGCTTAAATGCTTTCTAATGGCCTCAACCCAGAGATTTACACTGAGCCAACTCACTTTGAAACCCTTCCATAAAAACGCCTTCTGCAAACAGATTTGTTTCATTATCATTGGGCCCGAAAGTGCCTGAAGTAACAAACAACTTCAAACTCCTTCAAATTTACTGTGGCACTAGGTTTGCACTTCATTTAAATGCCATGTACCTGGGTACACGTCCTGGGGGGGGACAAGGAAGGAAGGGAGGGACGGAGAGCCCCAGTGCAATGTATCAGTGATTATGGTGCAATAAATATTGGATGGAGGATCTATGATAACATCTATTACAGCTTTATGAAATATTGATAGCGTCTGAATACATATTGCCTCCTGAACAGCTCGTTCCGGAGATGTTTAATGAAAGACATCTGTCGTTTTATCCTTGAATCTACATGCAGGCAGAATATCGTCTCCATCCTCCACTGTAATCTCCATAAGGGTTTCCAGATCTGCAAGGATAAGGCATGAAATACTCAGGCTCACCTATCTGGAGGGGTGGAGGGAAGAGAGATGGAGTCTGCTTTATGCGCACTCAGTCTTCCATTTTGGGAAAGAATTAACTCTGTGCCCCTCTAAAATCAATCCCTGCACAAACGGCTGGCTTTAACAGGACCGATAAAAGGCTGTGTAGGCTGCCATGGCAAAACAGTGGGAGAAAACAGGGCTCCCAGGAAAACCAGCTCACCCGTCAGGCACTTACCCCTTGCTGTGTGTGTAACCCTGTGCACAGCACCCTCCCCTGCGTGAACCAAACACCAGTCCCTGACATAATCCCAAATAAAGGACACGTGGTGTTACTTCTCACCTTGTAAGGTCTCTCCAGGCATGCCTGTGCGCGCATGCACACAAACCCTCCACACGATTACTTCAGTCTTTACACCACTGAATTCACTTCCCTTCTAACACCGATCCCACCCTGCTCAGGTTCTCCCAGCATGGGAAATCAAAGCACACGATCTCCCCACACACCTTTTGCCAGCTGAGCTGTAACCTCCCTCACACACGAAACCCAGTTGCCCCATCACAGGCAGCTCTCTGCAGGTGCAGCTCTTGGCTCATTTGCAGTGTTTTGTCCCCATTCCAGCCTCGTCAAGGGCAACTGTCACCTTCAGGGTCCATTGCTCATTTTGTGGATGGGAACACACATTTCTCGTGTTCCTGCCCCAAGCCACAGCCCCAGGTGAAGGGACAAACCTTGCAGGTTTACCCCAGCAGCTCTTCTCCTACCCAAGCCTGAGGCCAAACCCTTAGTGACACTACAAAAGTGTTCTGGAAAGCAGGCATCATGTGGTTTTGTTCCCAGATTCTAAATATTCACACCTGGGTACTGCTAAATAGGACAGAGCAAATGGGGGCAACAGCCAATAGCTTTTCCTCTTCCCTGGGCAGAGCAGATTCAAGCCCACTTAACCCCAGGTTGTGACTGCAGGACTCCTCCACGGACCTGCCTCTCATCCTGGCACTGCTCCCACACATTACCTTTCCCCTTAGTTCTTAACTAGAAAGGATGAACTTTGCCAGCCCAGGGACTGACAAATTGAGCTGCCTCAATTGCCTACCAAAGGATGAGAATCTTAATGTACCCTTATTTCCCAGTCTCCATTTCCCCCGTGCGCACAGGATCCTTCTGCTAAACACAAGGCATTCAGGAAAACATCAAAAGAGGAATCAGAAATGACTGTGATACCTCAGACATATTTTCTGCAACACCTCATCAGATCAATAGCTGCTTATAAGCAACACTTCCCTGGGAACATTTTCACCTTCCGTGAACTGTCTGATCCACCCAGCAACAGCCACAGAGGAGTAATACAGCACCGCTCCCACCGTTTGTTACCACGTAACAGAGCCTGCTGTATTCACAAAAACAACACGTGGCTCTCCCCTGCTCGCTGAATTAATGATGGGTGCGATTGTGTTTCTCTCCACTCACTCAGCAGGAGGAATCCCGGCACCAGAGCCACCTCTGCTCTTCGTGTAGGGAAGTGTCTCCGCCACAGCCTGGTCCAAGGAAAAGCACAGAGCACTGGATCCTAGCTGGAAGGCACCAGGTTCATGGGCATCCCGTGGCTTTGCTTCCTCTAATCCCCATCCCAGAATACTTAAGGACCTAGGAACAAAACCTTATTGTCCCTTTTGCCTTTCCTATACAACTTTATGTGGGGCAGGAGGCAGGAACACCTCGCTCCATGCTAGTGCAGAGACCAGCCCGGAGAAGGTCTTCAGAAAGGCATGCAGTTATAAATGTTATGAAGGTGATAGGTGACAATCTGCTTTTGTTTTTATTTTTTAGTCTCATTTCTTAGCCTAAAATGGATCTTTAGTGAAAACTCAGCTTTATAAGCTTAGGTTCTTAAAAATTTGGCTTGGTTTTAGCACTGTTATTTTATGAAAATGTCAGATTTTGTCTCTTCCTGTAAATTATGCCACTTTCTAGTCGAGGTTTTAAACCAATTTAGCAAACGCCCTAAAAGCCCTTGTTGTGGACAATTCTTACTGTGATAACCTAAATGGGTTATTAAACAGCATGTTCAGCCAAATCCATGGGGATTTAAATCACACAGGAGTGAAACAAGCACATGCTCCCCGCCATTTATCCTCTGCCTTGATGAAATCCCAGGCCTCAAGGTTGAAGCAAAGCTCTCCAGGCTCTCTTCTCACCCATCTCCTAGCTCCTAGCAGGGTCAGAAGCACGAAGACAACCACAGGCACATCTCTGACATGCATCGCTGGTTGGAGCTGCCCTTTCCTCTTCCCAAAGGGTCCAGTCTCTAGGCTCAACTCAACTCTGCCCGACCTGAGCACGTGAACCAGAGAGAACAGCAGCAAACAAGCCTTCATCCTTTCCCACCCACCTTCCCTCACCTCTCTTCCTTCACAGCAGCATATTTCTTCTACCTCCCTCCGTCAACCCCTTTCAATGGCATTTCCCTTCCTGCTGCCAAATGGATGCTTAAGAGCACGGAGACAGTAAAACATTGCTCTAATGTCCCTTGCTGATGCATAGTCTCCTCCCATTATTGGTATAGCAGCACCAGGTTATACGCCGTTAATAGCCTTTCCACTTGTTTATAGCCTCGCTGGCATCGTTCCTGGATTTAGCACCGCTGCTTGCCTTCCCTTCGCTGCTTCGGGGGCGACCTCCCCTCCGGCAGCAGGGCTCACATGTCACGCGTGCGATGTGCAGTGCAACGCGCGGGAGCTGCTGGGGTGCACTGCCAGCAACCAGCACATCAAAAACACATTACAGCAAAGCCGGCGAACTCATCTTGGACTGGGTAGGGGTTTGGGAGGAGATTTATTTTTTATTTTTTTTTGTGAAGCAAGTGAATAATTCATAGGCAAACCATTGACATGATAAATCCCTCCGTTTCTTTTCTTTTGTGAATTGGTCCGAACAACTTTCCAATTCCTTCCCTCTGCATTTTCATTATCCGGAATTATTCACTAAACAATTGCTTGGAATAATTCTGGGGAACAAAGTCCCTGCTGGGGACATCCGTGCTGACGTCAGTGGAACCAGCACCAGCGGGAGCCGTGGTTCGGAGGCGACCGGCCGGCTGTGAGCCTTTCATCACCAGGATTTGGTCTCCAGCTCCAGAGCCACGGGCTCAGCTGGGGCAAAGTGCTGAGGCTGGACAATCGTCATTTTCTCTCCCATTAGATGAGCAGAGTTCCACAAATCAGGTTTGCTCTGCGAATCCTCATGTTTACAAATTACCAGGAGCTGCAATTGCCGAGATGCAGTGCTAGATCGCATCCGCACTTCCAGCAGCCCTTCTGCCAGTGTGCCTCATCTCCAGCCCTGCAGGACGAGCAGAACAAAGTGCAGCCTCCCCATTTCCATTTCAACTGCTGCAAACGAGCCCTGCCCTTCGCAGACACACTCCTGACAGTGCGCACAGGCACCGAATCCACTGCTGGGCTCCCCAGCACCACTCGCTGCCTTTGATATTCATGGGAGGCGAAAGAAAACAACTGACAGTTTGCTTTTTAATTTCATGGGAAATTTTGGAAGTGGTTTTCGCTCGGTTCTGCACTTCATTTATTCATTTACGGACTGACCCAAACCCCATATGAACAACTGAATGTCTTCAGCACACCACAGCTCTGACTCAAAGTCCTTGATATTTATCTGCCTGCAGTTTCCAATAAGTTAAACCCGGCTGACCTAAAATACTGAATTCTGAGGAAGCTCGCCAGCTGATGACTCCCGCTATCCGAAAGGAATTGTCTGGGGTGTATTTTCTGTGTATTTTATTGTAGATGAGACACCTGACACTATGAGATCATGAGCAATTTCCAGCTCTCTCCAAATCACCCGTATGGTTCCAGTCCCGAGCCCCACAACATAATCAGTTGTGCTGGAAAACTTTCTGTGCTGATTGTCGGTAATTTGCCACTCGTAACTCAGAGGGAGAGAATTGCTGGCAGTTCTCCCCTTCATCTTCTCAGAAAAATCAACCTGTGCTGTGCAGGCCAAGCAGACTGTAAAACCCCACAAATCTGGAGGGCTGACTCTCCAGTTATTGAAATGTTTCAGGCCAATGGCAAAATATTAATGTCATAGCAGAATTTCCATCTCTGTCATGGTCAGGATGTTAACTTCTTTGGTCGTTTCTCCATTTCGGCATCTGCTTTCCCCGCCTCACATCCTTGCATTTGGATTTAGATTAATTCATGTCACCATCCTAGACATACATGTTTACAGAGTTGACAAACTAATTTACCACAAGTGCCAATGCTTCATAAATGCAATCTGATTTCTGCAAAAATCAGGATCTTTCCTTGCCGCTGAAGCCCTCTAGTCAAATGTGCACAGACTCGAATTTCACACCAAGGAAACACAACTGCAGACGGGCAAGCTTTACTTCTGTGGTGCTTGAAATAATTGCCCAAGCAAGCTGGAAAAAATCTCCTTGTGCAGTGAAATCTTCAGGCACTTTCCTCTTTAAATCTCATCTTTGGGGCACTGCTCCCTCCTGCCTGCCTTGCAGTGGGGCTAAGACAGTGCTGACAGCCCCCAGCCTCTTCCCCTTAGGTGCAAGGGTTCCTCGTACACCTTGCCAAAAGCAAGCATCCTACAAGGGATGCCATGCCTTCAGCCCCTGCAGCTGACACAAGCCTGCTCAGCCTGTATTTTAGCAAAGGATCAGGATGCATCCATGGGTTTGTCATTACAATCTTGTTCTCCTTAAGAGGTGCATCCCTGAGCTGCAGAATGACACATCTCACGGATGGGGCAGTTTCCTTGCCTTTCCAGGTGTCCTGCAAAATCCCAAATCCCATCCAAGTCCTTCAGCCATGCCATTTACCATCAAACACTATCTAGGCCCTTATGGTCTGGCCAAACAGATGTAAAAGAAAGAAAAAAGGACGTGAAACCCAGGCTACTGTGTTTTGTCCTAGACAACAAGCCTCACTGCTTGCACTGACACAGGCTGCCCTTGTACAGAGCTGGGATATCATCCGGGATCAAACTGCTGCCAGCAAAAATGCAGGTGGCTGATGTAAAGGTTGTTATTCCCTGTTTCGTTATTTTTTTTTTGCAATTAAATCAATGGATATGCCCTGATGTCTCCATTTTCCCAGTGCCTTCATACAGCCACTTCCAAATGTTTAGGATGCAATAGCACTGATACCCATTTTACAGACAGGAACACTTCGGGACGAAGAGATAAAGTCCAGATCTCTCGACATCTAACCCCCAGCTGACAACAAAGATGGATAAAGCCCTTTTGAACCAGCAGGACTCGTGTTGTGTCACTGCACAGGCACCTAGCTAGAAGCCACCACCCGCGGTGAAGGGCTGCTGAGGGCCAGCTTTTGGAGGTGCTGGGCTCAGCCTGGCCACAGACCTTGCTGCTGAAACCAAGGCAATATCTCAGCACGAGGCTGCAGCGCACGGTGCAGATGGGCCCTAAACTGAAGCTCATGGTGATGTCCCTGCTCATTCCTGGACCTCTGCAGCTTCCCATGCCAACACCAGCCACAGGCAACACCCCCACCACAGCCACACATCCGATGCTGTGATACAGCCCTTCTGTGGGAAAGCAGGAAAACCAGCTCTCACCCTCACTGCTGGGCCTGGGAAGACAAATCTTCCTGGTTTGGGGCAGGAGATACTCATAAGCCTCCTGGCCTTGCTTGATGTGGTTGCAAATCCCGGTGTCAGCTGGCCCTGGACTCCCTGCAGCGGGGAGGGATGGTCTCCATCAGCATTCGAGGCATGCAGCAGGCAGGCAGAGAGGATGCAGGTAGCAACAAACCTTCCTCGGAGGAGGAGGGCGGCTGCTTGCAGGATCTCTGCTCTGCCACAAGCTCTGCTCTTGCAGAGCCTTTTGTCTCTGTCCCCAGCTGCCCCGTGCCAGCTCTGTGTCCCAGCCCAAGCCTGAGACTGGGGGCCCTGGAGCCACTCCAAGGCTTTGCACACTACAAAGCAGCTCCAGTTCTTTTAATTAGCTGGAGAACATAGATGAGCACACCACGTACCCCAGCCCCTCCTGCAGAGCCCACAATAAAGCGTTGCACACCTCCAGGACCACTGGCCATAGATCAAAAGCCAATTTGGTACCTGGGCTACTGGCAGCTGGCTTCACAGGCGGGATCACAGGCTGGCCCAGCCAGCCCTCCCACCAGCTCTGGGGCATTAAAAATCCTGGTCTCCGCTCACCCAGATCACAGAAAACCCCACTGTTGCCTGCAGAGATCATGGAAAATTCTTTCCTTAGGAGTAAAACCTGTGTCCTGGCACCACCAGCATCTCTACATCCATCCATCCATCCCTCTCTCCCTCTCTCCCTCCCTCCCCCTCTACACTCCTGGTCCTTTCTCCCAGCACCCAGTCCCAACCACTCATCCATTCTTCCCCCTCACACTCCTCTATCCGTTTATTTAGTGCTTTTCCAGTCTGCCTCCATATATTTAAGAACACAAAGTCAGTTCATCTCATCCACCCTGCAGGAATCTCCCCATCCCCATCAGGACTGAAGCAACCCAAGGAGCACCCACCAGCTCCTCCTGCACCACGGGGAGCAGCAGGGGCAGAAGAGGCTTTAATGGAGAGGGACCAAGCCTAGGACCTGGGGCAGCTGGAGACAAATCTTTCCAGAGATACCAAAGATCCCTTGCTTAGGTGCATACCAGGTTCTCCAGCTGCTCAGGGCAAAAATTATGAATTATTATGAATTGCTGGGTTTCATCTTGGGTTTAATCCACCCCTTTTTGTTGGTGTTACTGAATTCAAAGTAATGGGTGCTGCAGAGGAGCAGAGTGCACCAGGATGGAGTCAGTGACCCATGGAGCACGTGAGATAAATAAATGCAGATCCTAATTGTTACTGGCCCCAAATTAACACAAAGCCCCTATCCATTTGCTGGGTCCAGTTCATACTGCTCCAAAAGGCCAAGCTGAGCCCCAGGTTAGATTTTCCCAGTAAATACCAGCCCGGCCCCAGTGCTGGGCATTCCTTGGTTCAGGGCAGAAGAGCTCAGTCTGCCAGCCTGGGCTTTTCCTTGAGCTCATGCAGGGACATGGTACAATTGGTACCCAGCTAACACAGTGCAGCATCCTTGGTTTCAGGACACTGTCCTTCAAAGAGGCCAAAACAACAAGGCAGATCAGGCAGCACCAGGACCTGTAACAGCCCCAACTCCTCCCCACCATCCTCTGAAACCAGGACCACAAATTGCAGGACCACAAATTGAGCTTTGCTTCTTCCTCCCCCTCCACTCACACCCTCCCTCCTCTCAGCTCAAATTAAAAGGGCAGAAAACCCGTGCTGGCAGCAGAGAGCCGCATCCTGTGGCACAATGGGGCTGAGACACCGTGCAGCACTGTCCCCAGGGGATGTGGTCCTCCTGGGACCATGAGAGGTCCCAGAGGAGCACTAGCAGCACGGCAGAGTGCCTTGGCTGACTCTCCAGCCCTCGTTCCCATGTCATATGCCAGTTGGCACCGCTGATTCCGTGGTGCTCTGGAGCACCCTTATCTCTCCAGGAGAGGCTTTCATTGCAGCCCTCGAGCACTAGGAAATGGAGATACTCAACTCGCTGATGCTGCTCTGCAAATCAATCAGAGGGGGAGGACGGGAAGGGGAACAGCTTGTCCCTGCCTGTCACTCTGTGGAGGCTTTGCCCTTCACTGGTGACAGCAGATTAATTCCCAGCCAAACCACAGCATCCGTCTGATGTGAAGCAGGGAAGCTGCTGAGTGGCAGAGCCCCTGCCTACGAGTACCCCAAGGTGGGGGGAAGAGGATGCAGATGGCTGGGACAATATTCTCCAGGGGTACCTGGGGTATGGTCTGTGCCTTAAGGGTTGCAAACTGCAAACTTTCTTTGCCAGGAAGCCCTCTCCCGGCTAGGGCAGCCATCTGCCTTGGGTAAATGAAGGAGCTGCTGACATCCAGAGTCAACAGTGTTGTGCCTGCGGTGCTGCAGGGGACTGCAGCAGGTCTGGGAATTTTGGGCACCTGGAGATGGACCCAAGCCTGCTGGGGTCACACTGCCACCACGTTGCCATTGCATCAGGGGCTTCCAGCCCCATGGCAGGAGGCTGCAGGTGGGTTCCCACCAGCTCCCATCCCTGCAGGGAAGCTTTCCCCAGGCTGACACGGTGAGAGGTGTCTGTCCCCCGGGCACAGCCCCCGCCTCCAGGCACCAGCGGGCTGTGAGCTGTCCCCTCTCACAGAGCGAGGCACCAGCTTGTCCCCCTGCAGGCTGCTCTCCTGCTGGCCTTCTGAGGGTCACGTCACTGGTGTCACCTCTCCACGTCACTGGGGCTTAGAGGTGGATTTAATGAGCCTGCGTTTTCCTCAGCTAAGAAAAACCTCTAAGAAGCTTAGTCCCAAGCATCCCAGGGAGCCAACAGGGCTCTCTGCAAGTGTCACAGTCCCCACCGGAGGACAAAGATAGCCCAAATGGCCTAAAGCAGGCTAACTGACATCAAAAGCAGGCACCAGAGATCTTGGGGACAACACACCCATGAGGATGGCTTTGTCCTCACTAGACCCTGCCAGGTGCCACCCTCCTCATGGGATGGACACGGCGGGTGACATCCTGCTCTGCCTTCCATTGCCCTGGATGAGGACACATGCTGGAAGCAGGGAGAGGTGACAGCAGTGGTGGCACCGTGCCCACACTCAGAGGACCCAGCAGCATCTCTGAGGGCTGCCACAGAAGAAGCTGAGCTGCTGGTCATCGCTCCTCATGTTCTCCCACTGCTGGCTGGTGTTTAATCCCTATCCCTGCACTCGTCCTGCAGTCTGGGGCCACCAAATCCTCCAAAAAACTGGTCCCCCTGGCATCTCTCTTAGGTTCCCAGCAGCTTTTTTAACACAAGTGGCATCGGGGAAGAGAATCCTGATTCACAGCAGTATAGAAGGAAATTTAAGCCTGTGGTGTTTAAACCCAGAAGAACAAGTCCTTGCAAAGCAGAAAGGAACAAAATTCATTATCAAAATCAAGGGAAGTGAGCATCATTTCTTCTCTTTTATGAAGGTCACTGAAAAAGGAAGCCTCACATGGGGTCCCTGAGAAACCAGTAGTGTAAATAGTCAGCGGACAGAGGGCATCTTCTATTAATGAAAGTGTCTTGCCAAAAAACACAGGCATCATATAAATTATCAGATAATGAAATTCCAGTTAATTTGCTGCCTGGTCAGCCACAGCCCTCCTGCCATGCTCCTGAGCCCAGCCAATAACATTAAGAAAGAATTACATCAGTACGAGGGCAGCTGGTTGAAAACCACATCTTGATGACTTGATTCGGGGAACAGCACCTTCTCCAGGATGAAGTGGGGTGAGCGATGCAGCCCCACAGCACTGGGTCAGTCACTGCTGCTCTCCCATGGCACGATGCACGTCCGTGGCTGTGACTTGTAGGTCTTTGAGAGACAAAAGTGAGGATTCTCCACTAGGCTGAGGAAAACAAGCCATATTTTCAGTTCACAAGTTTCCTTGGGGAACTCGGTATCCCAGGGGCTCCATGGAGCTGCTGATGTGCAAAGTCTCCAGCCGGTGGGTGTCTGTCACTTCTTGGCATGTCACAGTGCCATGGAGCAGAAAATGGCCCCATAACCCAAGGCAAACCAACCTGCTTCCATCTCACAACCACAGCCTCCAGACCCAGGCTCAAGACCACCCACTTCACCTTAACCAGGCTTCAGTAGGGTCCAACAGCAAGCACCTCAGAAGGAACACAAGAAGGGGATGACTAAGTAGGGACATATCCCAGAAAGTCTCTTCCAGTCCTTACCTGCCTGCAGCTTTGCAGTGACCAGCCCTGAACTTCTGCCTGGTTGCTCTTGGCCATCTCGCCTTGCCACTGCTCTCCCCTCACTCCTTTTGGGGTTGTCTCTGTCTCTCAGGACCTGGAGGAGATGAAAGCCACCCCCTTTGTTCTCTTAAGGCCTTGATCCCACAGGTAGAAAGAGACCCAAGACAGGGAAGGGCAACTTCAGTGATCAAAAACCAGGGCAAGACACAGGACCAGCCCTAGCATCAACAACCAGGACTGGGTTTCAAGTACAAATCGCGTTAAAACTCCTTCCCATTACCCTTTTCCCTCTGCTGCTCCAAACTATCCAAGCTTCATAACACCAAATATTCAGCATGCTCCATGTAATTTTAAAGCCATTATGTAAGCTGCTCTCTCCCCCCCATCTCTCGATGTCTCCAATTGGTGTGTCAGAATGTAATTAGCTTTTGATGGGATGTTAAGATTTCTTGAGCTCCTGTGGAGAGGCAGCATGGGGAGAGGCGAGGCAGCGGATTGTGATTGTCACTCCCCACGGTAAATGCTCGAAGACCCTGGAAGACTCATTTACAAAAATATAAAATAAAATAAATAAAAAATCCCAAAGTAACAGACCCAGTAGGCTTCAGTTTAATTGACTGAAATCACCGGTTTATTTATTTATTTATTGCCTCTGTGCTTTCTCCTGCTTGGAGAGAAATGGCAATTAACTGTCTCGTGACCGACAGATGAGTGCCATGCTGCGACAGCGGTCAGGGCTCTACTGCAACTCCAGCTCGAGAGGCTGGAAGTCCTGAGCTGTTCAATCCTGCCTTTCCAAGCACTGCTATGCTGCCAGCTTTGCTGCTACAACCCATTGCATGAGCAAATCCTCGTTTGCTTCAGGACCAGGTCCTCCAGCTCCTTTTGTCCATCACAACCCCCTCCCACATACCCCCACAATCCACCCCAGAAGCAGAAGGGACAGAACACAGCAGAGTCCAATCCACAGCCCTAAGATAATACCTGACACCCAGGTCTGCAATTCGGAGGAAGTTTGGTGTCTCTAAAGAGTGTAAATCTCTGTTGCAATCACTGCTGGGGCTGAGCTCTCTCAGTGCTTTGGATGCTACCACGGACAGCAGAGCTACTGTGCCCCAGAGATGGATGCACCAAGACATGGGGCACCAGCTTTTCACCAGGAAGCAGCATTTACAAACCAGGCCAGGTGTTTCAGCTCTGGCTGTGGTGTCCTGTTGGAAGAGAGGACACTGGCGGTTCTACCAAAAGGATGCAAGTCTTTATGCAGATAAACAGACCCAGCTTTAGATGCTGCTGCATAGAAACCTGCCGCAGAGCTCTTACAAAACCAAGCTCATTTTGCTGTCATGTTTCCAACCTCCCAAGGGAACCATCCTGGAGACCTATGCCTTAATGGTCCATGCAACAAACACCACATTCTCAGACCCTTCTCCATACTCTCTTCCCAACTAGCCAAGCCTCATGGAGGTGTAAAACAAGGCAGGCAATTCCCCAAAACAAGTTTTCTGCAGTCTGACTGGGCCTGAACTTTCACAAGAGCACCTGCCCCAGCCAACAAGCGCACATCAAGTCCTTACGTACCTACAGATGGTGTTCATCTCACCGAGCAGTGTTTGTCTACACACAGACCCTGGCCCAAAGCCCACTGAAGTCACTGGATGCTTTTCATTAACTTCAACAGGCTGTGGATGAGGTCGGTGTGGTCAGTTCTCGTCAGAGGCATTGAAATGCATCCTGCAGGATGCTCAAGCACGCCTTCAGATCAGCCATGTAAATGCTTTCCTAAACACAAACCTGCCACAACTCCCTTGTAAATGCACATATATTAATACACCTCTGGCTCCAAATTCGGCGATGATGTGAAACGCAGGCACATCCAATACAATAACGAGCCGTTCCCATCAAATGCCAAATCAACTGCATAATGGGCCATATTGATTGCTTCAAGGGCCAGACCAATTCCACTTGTCCTTTTAATGATTATTATGACATTAGCTATATTATTTCTGCTCAGAAAAATTAATTCCTCTCTCCCCATCCCTGTCGCTCTGGATGCGAGTCCATTCAAGCCTCCATTCCTGCTGAAACACCAGCTAAGGAGATCTCTGCAAGACCTGGACTTAATTCACTTCTAAATTGTTGTCAGGCAACTGGATTTTTTTCCTCTAATACTGCCACTGGCATTAATGGAAAGAAAACAATAAATGTATCTGGTCACCTAAGTAGTCAGCCTCCCCTTTCATAGCTCTGCTGACATTTCTGTCTCCAGCCTGGACAGTAATGCATTCCATTTTAATGTTAGCAAATGCTTTCTTTATGATCAGAGACATTTTTCATTTGCACTTGTTTGCATCTCCCTTAAAATTCAATATTTCATTTGGGGATGCAGGGTTATTGTCTGCTCCTCAAAATAAACCATATGTGGCACAAGGATATTTCTAATGATTTTCGCGGGTCTCCCCCCCCCCCCCCCCAGGAGCAGCAATTGCTTTTGGGGCCGCTCCCAGGAGCCAGCCCCAGCCCCCTGTACAGGGCCCTGGTGAATCTCTCTGCTGGGGCCCCATGGGCCTTTTGGGGTCACCCCAAGCAGCATCCCCTCAAAAAAATGAAAGCTGAGTTTAGCCAAGCTTTCATCACCTTGAGCCAAATGCCCCTGTGGATGCATTTATTCCTCTGGGCAAAAGCTGTGCTTCTCTGCAGCTTCACCCTGCCAAAACTCCTGCAGAAGTCACACAGGCAGATGAGGATGGCCACGGGTTAAGAGACAGCTCTGTCCTAACCCCCGACCTCCCCATCTGCCAGAAAACCACGGGGGGCAGAGACAGGACAAGCTCAGGACTCCTGCTGGCATTAGAGGTTTGCAATTCTCGGATGCTCTGAACGTCCAGTAATAGAGCTGATGAGATCCCTGTGTCACAGCCTGGTCCCCATAGACCTCCCAAAATGGTTTGTGCAGGAGCAGGTGGAGCTCCTAGGGCACATGCATCAAGAGGGTGCAATCAGGAGACTTCAGTCCCCAGTTATGGGGTCCAGGGCTGGGGCAGACTGCGAAAAGAAGGCATCAGGCAAAACCCACTGTGCTCCAGAGGAGCCAGCTATCAGAAGCAGCTGCCCCAGAAACAAGCGGTACCTCGGCACTTGCACACTCCTAATTCAAGCACCCACCACTTTTGCAGCCTCCCTGGAGGAAAAGGGTAGGTGGTTCACACCATGCAGCATCTCCCCCAGCCTGAGCAGCTCACATCAAGGCGAGCTGGAGCCTCTCCCTGCTGTGCCTTTCCAAAGCATCCTCTCTGACCTCCAAGCAACCGCATTTACTGCTGACCCCTCCCCTCCCCCCCTTCCCCACAGTGAAAATCTGTTCCTTTCAAGGGTGCCTTTGGGACCCAGATATCTTGGAGGGCAATTACCAGATGCTCTTACCTGAATATCCCTCTGATCTCTGGCACTAAATGAGAATTGACAAGAGAAGTGGGTTGGATATATACATAGCAATTTTCTAATTTTCTGAGCAAATTTGGTTAAAGCTGCTGAACAAGAAAGCTTGAAACTTCAATAATAGAGCAACCAGCCAGGCACGGGAATGACAAGAGCTCTGAGCTCAAACATGGTTCTGCCCTGACCTAGAGAGACCATTTGAAAGGCTGAAGGAAATATTTGTCCTCCTGTGGCCGTTACATCAAGGCTGCTGAGAAAGGTTTCCCAAGCAGGCTTTTGCAGTACAGCACCATCCCCACCAGCACCAAGCCTGAGGCTTTGAAAGCGGGCTGAATCCTAGACCAAAATCTGTTTTGTTGACTCAAGGCAGTCAGAGGGAAAGGTTTTGCATATGGGCTGCTAAAGGGTTTATATTATGGAGATTATGTCTCCCTGTGCATATGCGCTGTAATAATTACAGAGTATTTGTGAGGATGAGGAGTGCCTTTTGCAACCTCTGTGCATGCAGAGGAGGACAGAGGGAGCCCTTAGAGCTGGATGTATTCCTGCCAGATGAAAGCAGCCAGCACTGAAGTTATTCTGAGAGCAGGAATCAGCACAAGAGCTCGTCGCCCGGCTTTGCTGTGATCTCCCGCAATAAGGGCGCAGAACAAAAGCTTTATCTCTGTGCAGGAAGGAAGGTGTCCCAGTTCCTACCTCGGCAGCTGGATGCTGGGACACGGCTGCTCTGCCTCGTCTCTCCTTGTTGCTATTGCCTGCAGCAGGTCTCTGGGAGCCGTGAGTGGATCAGGTTGGGGGAAGGTGCCAGGAGGTCCTGGGGGGATCAGGCTCCCCTAGTGAAGGAACCAGGAGCAGCCAAGGAGCTGCTGGAGGAGCTGCTCAGTGTCAGAGCAGCAGAACCTGCCCAGAAGCGGTTTTACCCTTATTATCCGCAGCCACCGATATCTGATTGCATTTAAAGCAGCCACTGGGTTTTTTCCCAGCGGGGCTGTGTCACCCACACAGCCACCAGCCCACACGGCAGATGTCTCGGGCCGGGTCCACCCACGCCCCATGCCCACAGCCATAGCACTACTGGCTCCAGTGGATCCCTCTCAGCTGGGGCAAGATCTGGCAAAGCTCCCGCTAAGCCACGTCTTCTTCCTGCTGTTCATTTCCTTAACTCATTTCTGGTAGCTTTCCAGGACGTATTACCATCTCAGACACTGGCTCAGGGTTCATCTCAGACACCAGGATTTGTCACCTCCTTTCTTCTGCTGTCTTGCTTTCCCCCAAGCCTGGTTTTCTCACACCCACAACCGTCTCAGATTATTTTGGTTCCCAGTACCAGAAATTTCATTATCACCCATCATCTTCAGACACAACAGAAGACGTAATGCAATCATTTAGCATTCATAGATCTGCTAGCCCTGCTCCTTCATGTATTTATCAGACAGTGCCAGAAAACCCGTCACGAGCATCCCAGCACTAGTGCCTGGTGTGTCAGCCCCCTGGAGCAAACGTTGAAGAGCATCTCTCCTGATCAATGAGAAAAGCCCTGCAATAACAATCCATAAAACTAAACTGCATTAAGAAAGCCCCTAGACTCATCTTCCCATATCTAATTAATTAAACCCTACTAACTAGCCCTATCATCCAGCCCTTTCAGTTTTTATTACAAGCTTTTATAATGGAGCTGGAAGGAAAATTGACTCTCCCTTGGTGGGGATGGCATGTGAAATATCAGTACCAAGAAAAGATTCTCAGTATTAAGAAATTAAAAGGAACTGGAAAAAGAGAAGGAAACGCTAAAAGACCAGATGAAGTCTTCTGTGATGGAGAACATTTTCTGTGCTCTCGCTGCCAGATAAACCTGATTTGAGCTCCTGATTTGCTCAGAGCCTGACAAGGGGAGGCTAAGAGATGAGCTGCCTCTTAATCAAATCAGCTCCCTCTCCCCTACAAGCCTGATGACACCAATACATGAAAACTGTGGAGATAACAGAGGGTTCCCAAGGGCAAGGAGCTGGCAGCAGAATTTCCTTGCTGTCTTGAAACCACACCAAGCAGCAACCATTTCTTCAGAGCCTCGTGCCTCCTGGCTTTCGTCTCCGTGTTCTGCTTTCATCTCCATAGTCACCAAGGTACATTGGGGTCCTGTGCTCTTGGGCTGACTGCAAGGAGCAGGAGCATGATTGCACCTTAAAATCTACAAAGCTGCCTGCCTGGGGTTCACACTGGAACTTTGAACAGACCTTGCATTAACATTAAAATAGCATAAACGCACATTTGCAAAGCATTTGGAGGAGCCCAGAGGCAGAAGAGCAGGGACTAACACAGGGCACCAAGGTCACACATGCAGTGAGGTCAGACCAAGGATGGCCGTTGCTGCTAGTGCTCCAAAAGCTAACAAATATATTTATATATATTTATATCTCAGGACTGAGATGTTCTTACTGGTCAGGAGTGAGCAGATGTCCCAGCACCCACCTGCTCCATGCCTCACTCAGGCTGGACAAAGCAAGTTACTCACCCTGGTGCAAGATGTACTCTCTTAATTCCCATCACCTTTACATTGCTACAGATGTCATCCATTTCTCATAGCTCCCAAGTCCTCACAAGCTTTCTCCTAAGAATATTGAAGGGATTTTTTCTGATCCTGAGCCTTGATATATTTGGGGAGTTTGCTGACCTCTGTTTCACCACCTTTTTTTTTTCCCCCGCCTGGGAAGCTCTCCCCCCTACCCAAACTGGCCTTGTACCAGCTTTCTTGTTAACACGGCTTCCTTCCACTACCACTTCTTTGAAGAACACATTTACGTGCTTTATTAATCTCTGGATATTGCATTCACCTTCTCCAGACAGCTTGTTAAAAATGGATCTGTTGGTGCTTCTATTGATTTCAGGTACTATTAACACTCATCACCCTTCCTGGAAGTGGGTTTCGCACTGCTGCTGCTGACTGCCAGCATCACCCACCCCCTCCGTGATGGCCTGACATGAGGGTCTCCTATCAGCACACGTGTGCTTGTTGAAGTTGGTTTTTTGCTCAGGTAATGCCGGACACACAGTATCTGAGCACTGGTGTAAACTGGGAGCAAAACTGCATGTACCTGAGCAGGAGATGGAGGTGCAGGTGAGGAGGACAAGACCAACACCTTGGATAAACATCCATTTGCTTTGCTCCGAGCTTTTTTGGTTGGGAAACAACATAACCTTGCCAGAAAGGATTTCTTCCTTCTCTGTTGTCCCCAGAGCATCCCAGCCTGGCAGGCACTGAAGCCTGAAGTCCTTTTCCCCAAAGCAACAGCAGCAGGGAGATGTGTCTGGAGGAGAGAGGGAGAGCAATAGGAAACCTGGAGATGGAAGAGGAGCTTCTCCCAAATGCCACAGCCTGGGCTGAGGACATCCATGGAGGTGCTCATGGGGCAGAATGAGACCCAAGAACCCCACATCCATCCCTGGCCTGGGGTCATTGCTCTGCACAGGTCCCTGCATCTGGATGCTCAAATGCCTTGGGAACCACTCAGGTATTTGGGGGTCCTGGAGTCAAAAAAGGTCTCAGGGCATACCTGTTCCAAAGAGCAAGCTGCTGAAATGGGAACACGTGCTGGTGTTTAAATATTTAAGACTCAATAGCCACTAAATCCTGATAAACACCCAAATGCAGAGAAATAGTTCTGGGAAATTAATAGGATTAGAAGTGTAGTAGGGAGGTTAACATCAGCAAAACCTGCTGGTCTGCTCGGCAGCAGCATTTGGCTGGGTCTGAATCATTCCCAGCCTAGATGGAAGAGGAGATGGTCTCACTGGACACATCATGGGCAGGAACATTCAGGAGAAAACACCCCACAGAAAACACGGGAGGAGGTTGGATGCTCCTCATAACAGGGTAAAGCTCTTCCAGCCCTGTTACATCCACCTCAGCTCCACGGAGCAATGCATGAACCATGCTTGCATGGCTCGAGAGCAAGAGAGGCTGAGAGCCCCTATACATTACTGCAGCAATAAATGTCAGCCACTGAAAATGGGCTTCAATTTCTAACCGTTGATTTTCAATAAAAATAAAGGCTGAATCCTACCAAGCCTAGTTAACTTGCAGGAAAGCTGACAGACCTAATCAGTTTGCTTTTCTTTAAGCACTGTGGTACCTGAGCACCTAGGAAATCTCAGCTCCTCATTACAGAGAAGCCCCTTGTTAGAAGGGGATTTCTCCAAGCAGCAGAGCCAAGAGCCCCACACCAGAGCCATGCGTGTGCCCTCACTGCTCGGGATATACAAGAAGCAAATCAAGGTCAGCCATCCTCCAGTAGAAAAGCCCCTTTCTTCCACCAGGTACCCTCGTATTCACAGCATTTTTCCCAGTATTTCTTTTCCCTAGTGTTTCTGTCTAGCCCAGATGTAAGTGGCTGAAGTAAAGCTCACACCATTTCCCCTGGAAGATTATTCCATGGTCTAACAGACTTGGCCATTAATTATTTTTTTTCCCCTTCCTGACAGCTGAAATTTGATGTAGTTTAATTTCATGCCATTACATCAAGGTGTGGAAGGAAATGAGAAAACCCATAAGATCGTACAAAGATTGTCCAGGCGATCGGGCAGGATGGTGCTCAGCAGCCACAGACCTGGCACAGTCCCAGGCACATCTGGCGTGGCACATCAGGACTACCTTGTCCCCCTCTGTTTTGCCCATAAACTGCTCGGAATAGGAAAAACCAACCCAAGGAGGCTGAGGCTGCACCAGAGAGAGGCTCTGAGGAGCCGCTGGTGGATAGGGAAGACAAACCCACAACATTTTGCACCAAAATTTAATCTGCTGTGAACTCAGGGAGGGGGAGGGAGAAGGTTCAACGTGTTGCAGCTGTAATAGAATACAGTCCTCCTTCCCTAATCAGGCTGTGTTATTGGGGAACAATTAAGAGCAAGTCAGGGGTAATTAGATGTAATTAAGATCTCTCAGCAGGGAGCAAGGCACTCAGGGGAGGCTGCACAGCCGGCGGCTGAGCTGTGCCTGCAGGAAGGGCACGAGCTGGGATGGGGAAATGCACCCCGGGCTCTGCCATGGGGCACCCACAAGCCCTGCAGGAGCCAGCCCAAGCAGTTTTTTGCCCACCTGGGACATCTCCACTGTAAAATTCAGGGACATCTTTCCAGAGGAGGTTCTCAAGGTGCTGACCCAAAGGGAGATGCGTGCCCTTGGCTGCCAGGATCCAGGGAGTGAGCAGCAGGACTGGGAGAAGACTGACTGCAGGGCTTAGGGTTCAGCACCAACAGCAAAAGCTTTCCTGAAAAGCCAGCACCCCTCCGTGCACTCATCCTCTCTGGGTTACACGACAAGGCTACCTGCACACTTGTGCACTGGCTAGACATGAGAGGTTTCACCAAAATCTGCTCAGTTTTATGAGAATTTCTACTACATCTGACTGCGCAACAATAGGTGGAGCTAGAACTGCTGCCAGCTTGCAGGAATGGCAGCAAACCTCACACTAACACCAGCTCCACGGCCTGAGCCCTGCCAGCAGGGACGTGCCCAACACTGGTGGCCTTCCAGAACAGCGTTGGATGGAGCCAGTCCATGCAACTGCTGAAATGCTTCCCGGGGGACGCACACACACCTTAGGGAGGGTTTCCACATTAACGCAGCACGATGGAGCCGTGGCTCTTACTGCAAGTTTGGGGTCTGGCTGTGGCCATGCAGCTGATGCCATGCCAGGGCTCCAGATGTGGACATCAGACAGCTGAGCCAGGAACACCAAACCTCTCCCTCTGCAATCCCAGCTTGACACCAGAGGTGCAAAACCTGCCCCAAAGCATGTGGGGGCATTTAGGGTGGCTTAAGCTGCCCCTACAGACTCTACCAGGGGATGCTGCCTTCAGGACCCCCCCATCCCACCAAGAGGTACCTGGATGGACCCATGCAGCAGGATGGTGCTGGCCAAGGCACCCTGCACCAGGACAGGAGCCAGGGCAGCCTCTCCAAGGCACTCTGGTTGCGTTCCCCAGCCACCCACCTTGGTTTTGGTGCCTCACCCAGGCAGGGCTGCTGCACCAGCCTCGTTCAGGCACAGCTGGCAGCTAATTAGCTGTTTAGCATAAACCCTAACAGTCTGCAGCCTTCCCTTGGGATGGAGAGAGAAGAATTTTGCTGCTCTGAAGTGAAGAAAAGCTTTACTGCAAGGGGCAGGCAGGAGGATGGAGGCTCACACCCACGCTCAGGCACAGGGGGTTGAAGATGCTCTCTCCTGCTTCAGCCCCAGGTCAGAGCAAGCAGGGCTGATGGGCTTCCCTGGGACACCCCTCACTACAAGAAATGCTTAGAACAAACCCTACAGCTGGAAGCGGGGACAAATCCCACCATTTTGTGCTCAAAAGGACCATCTCCAAGGCAGCAACTTCCCTCTGCATCCTTCCAAAACAGCATGTCTCCTGTCACCCACAGCCAAAATGATGCTCCAGCACTGAGCATTTGTATACCAACCTTTCTGAACCGGGCTACATGAGGAGAGGATATTTCCCCACTTGTTGTACTCCTGGATGCTCCTGTAACATCCCTCCTGACCATGTTTGGGGCAGGTGGTCTCTGGGTTTCCCACACTGCCCCGACAGCCCTTCCCACCTCCTTCAGGGCAGAAGGAGGGACAGAGACAAAGTCATTTGCCAAACACCATCAACAAGAAATGGCAGGAGTCAAAGCCTACTTTTGTCTTCTCCCATGGCCATCTCATGGGGCTGGGGAAGGGCTCAGAAGGGTTTTGCTTTCCCCTCTAACTCCCCAGGTGATTGCCATCAGTTTGCCTGCAGAGCAGAAGCTCGCCCTCAGACGGGCCTCAGTTGTTGCCATGAAGATGACTCCTGACTGCACCAGAATGGAAAAGCAAAATTAAAAAAGCAGCAAAATCACAACTAAATAAAGTCTCATTTGCATAACAGGTTTCTAAGTTTCTCGTGCAATTTGGAGCACAGAATACAACGTGGAGCTGTTGAGAATGGAGCAGCCCTGTGCTGGTGCTCTCTTTGCCTGGGCAACGAATCCTCTGCTCCCAGCAGCAGCACAGGGCAGGATCCATCCCAGCACAGATCAGCTACCAGCAGCCCATAGCAGTTGGCAGTGACCTGGGTTTGGCTGGGTTCCCTGAAACCTGCGCCCCTAAACCCTCAGCCCAGGATGGGGAAGCTGCCCTGAGGCTGTTCCCCATGGAGATGTCCTGGGTTCAAGGTGGTCGGATCTCATTTTTAACCTGTTTGGGCTCCAGGCCACACAGAAGAACAGAGTGAGTCACAAAACAGCCTGCTTGGGTTAAAATGACCGATTTTGGAGCTGTGCTGCTAAGACACAAAGCTACTGCTGCGTGGCAAGGGCTCTTTGTGGGAGCTGGTGGCTCTAAAATTGGTCTCATCTCTCAGGCTTTGCGTGCAGGCACCAGATTTTTCTTCTGGATGAACTCTGCCTTGGGAAGGTTCTTCAGGGGAAATTCATGAAATTTTAAATTACAGCAAGGTTCGAGCACTTCAAGGGGCTTCAGCATCACGGTGCTTCACCAAAAGCATCAGCCGAGGCAGCCTCTCAGGTCCTCCACAGGCAGGGTCACCAGGACCTCCACACCTCCTCTCACTCCAAGACTTTTAAGAAGCACTTTAAACAAGAGCCTCTTCCCTGCTACCCCAACAATGTGCAAATACCTCACCGACAGAGAGCAAACATCTCTGAAAAAGCATCAGCAGCCTTCCTCGAGGCCACCTGAAGCTGGGTGCCCATCACTCCATGGTCCAGGCTGCTCCCCAGGGATGGTGGTGCTGGCTCCGATGAAACCTCCTCACCTCGGCCACATTCAGGGCACGGCGTGCAGTGATTCTCTTCGTGAGACGCACTAAGTAATCCCAGCTTCCCGAGAAGATAATTAAGTTCCACTCGATGGTGTGACTGCTACAATTTAAAGCGCGCGCGTACACACACAGAATGGGTAAAGGTGGTGCTTTTTATTCTTTGCCCTAATAAAAATAATTGGCTTTGGCCAGCTGAGGGTGTTTCTTCTCCCATTTTCAGCAGCAGCACCGTAGTGAGCTAAGCCTGCTCAATGACAAAGCTTGGGCCATCCTTTCCACAGCAGGACCCCAGAGAGTTGCTGCACCCTTTGCAGCACCCATGGGATGCACACACAGACACAGACCTTGCCCTGTGGTCTAAACAGGCAAGAAAACAACCCCAGCAGAGCAATCTGCCTTTAGGAGCACTGGCTACACGTGAAAACAGGGAATTATTGGGATGACGTCCTTATGCTGCCGTTTCCACAGCATGTTTGATGTGCCCAGGGGAACGTCTGGCAGCCCCTGTGAGCTGGCCCTGCTGTGTCCCACACCGTATTGCGGTGACAAACGGAGGCACGACGGCAGTGACGAACATGTCCCGGGGCTGCAAGGGCTGTGCAGAGCTGATGCATCCCCAGGCACACCTCCACAAAGCCATACAGCTCAAGGGGCTCCATACGGTGGGGCTGCAGGCACCCCAAGGGTGTAGGGGCTGCCCACGGGGGCTGAGCTGCTCCATGCATGCATGGGGAGATTATTTCCAGCCCGGGTGAAGCCCAAACATCTCAAAGGGGATGGGATCCCGATTCTGAAAACCACAATGTCGCTAAGCTCTGGCTAAGATATTTGTTGTCTTGAACTCCACTGTTTTCACTTGCAGACCCCAAAGCATTTTGCAAAACATTCACCCACCCTGTTGAGCCACACATCCCTAGCGTAAGGGCATTGCAGCACCTACCCTGCAGCCAAACCTGAGCTGCTCCTGCCCAGCTGCTGAATCGGGCCCATCTCCACAGTTCCACATGGAGACAGAGCTGGGCATCAAGAAACGGTTAAATTCCTAAGCGAGCCAGTAATTACATTTTTACTGTAGTTTAAAAAGGCCATTTGAGGCCTTACAGAGCAAACATTTTCCCTTTTAATGACACGGTAATAGATTAAGAGGGGCCTGTCTCATGGCAAACATCAAACAAGGGAGATGGATTCCCCCAGCAGTGGGAGCGAGCAGATCTCTGGCACATGGCACGGGCACAGGAAAGCAGCAGCCACTGCTTTGGTGCGGACCTGGCACGGGCAGGGTGGCACCAGCATCCCTTGTGCCCCTCCTCATCTCCAAAGGGCACCAGGGGACTGAAGCTGTGCCAGAAAAAGGAAACGAAAAGGGTCTTTGGGGTGAAGGGGGGGTGTTATTGTAGGTGTTTTAGTTATTGCAGATGTTTGGGTTGTTGCAAGATGATGTCCAGGAGGAGCCAAAGGGAGAGGCAGCGGGGGAAAGGAAATATTTACCAAGCTTCAAAAGCAGCAGATGGTTGCAATGGAAGTGAAGTGCAGGCAGGGCAGCTCCAGTGGGAGCAGGATCAGCCCTGATATTGCAAAGGATTTCAGGTGCTTGGCACTCCGGGCCACCACAGCACTGCTGGAAGCCCAGGGTGCTCCGTGCACAACTGGGTGCTCCGTACAAACCTGCGTGCCCAACGCAAAGCAGGGGGTCCTGGGGGTCTGTGAGCCACCGAGCACCCCACCAGCCCCCACATCGCTGGTGCTTTGCTCCAAGACATGCATCCAGCCAGGATCTGTGCTCCCCATAGGCCACATCCCCTCCCCAGGCTGCTCGGTGGGGGCTGCCCCCAGCGCTCAGCAACTCCAGCCCCCGCTAGGAGAAGCGCCCGCGCACGACGGGATGGAAACCTGCCTAATTAGTGCCAGGAAAAGCAGCAGCAGCAGCAGGGGCCCAGGCAGCCCCTGCCAAGCAAACATGTTCAAATCAAACCGGAGCTTCCTCGCTCCAAAGTTTACAAGATGTTTCTTTCAAACCCTCATTAAGCCCTTCTGTCGTCGCCTGCGCTGCCTGGCCCCCGTGCCGGGGCTGGGAGATGCCACCAGGCGCAGGAGCTGTGGGTTTTCAGAACTTCAGGGGCTTCTCCTCAAGCCTTACATGTGTTAACCCACATTTACACCCATGCTGCCCAGCCAAAATTCCGTAATGCACACAGACAAATAATCCTCCTGGAGTGCTGTCCCCATTTTTGCACCCTTGGCTGGATCAGACCAGCCCATTGGGCATCCCTGCACCATCACCCCGTGCCTGGACATGGCTTTGGCTCTGTAGCCTGTCACCCATATTTTGGGGTTAGTGGGCAATAAAACCAGCAGGCAGAGGTACTGGGCTGTTCCTGGCCTCCTGCCACAGCTCAGTGCTCAGAAACAGCCAGAGGCCCTGCACAGCACGCAGCGTACCCGTACCTGCCTCCTGCCCAGCACCCGCAGCAGGATTCATTGCAAAATAGCACAGAGACTGATTTAGGGTGAAAACAAGCAGCTGGGGGACAAGACGGTGGCAAAACACGTCCATATGGGACCAGAGCAGCCTGCAGACCCTGGCACTGCTGCTAGAAACACACTCCGAGCTTTGCCAAATCCAATTGGGTTTTAAAGGGTATTTTTTGGGTGGGGGAAGGCCAAGGAAAAGCACTGGAAAATATCAGGTTTCAACGCGCTCTCAGCATTGTGTGTTTTCCCTTTTGATGTTACTTTTTAGTTTTTATTGAAAAATATTTTGTGGTCTGACACAAACCTCACTCTTGCCTGAAGAGCCAATGTCAACATGAAATCCTGCGAGCGCCTCAAAGGGAAACATTTGAAACTACATAATGAAAAAAATAAATAAAAAGAAACTGCCTTCTCCTTTCCTAGTTTTTCCTTTTCCCCTTCTGGCAACTTTCAGCATTTTTTTGCTCTTTTCTTTACGAACCAAAGTCATGGTTTGGGGTCTCAGTGTGGAGCAGAGCCCGGCTCCAGGTGACAGGACAGTGCCCAAACCTGCTGCGCTCCAGGGCAGCATCCTGGGGAGAAGACCCTGGAAAAGTTTCCCCCCGTGAAACTGTCATCCCTGGAGCTAAGCCAAACACCTTCCCCTCCTGGCACAGCACACAGAGGCCAGCTGGGAGGCCAACAGCTCTTTGGTTAATGTCAGAGAAACCTTGGATCAACCAAAAAAACAAATCTACCCCCAGGAAAATACA